TCGAAGTCATGACAGATTAAAAACATTTGTTATCTCCAAGCCGCTCAAAGTTATAATTAAGCAATGAAGAGATATCAAGCAATATACCATCATTACCGTTTTTTCTCAATTATTTAAATCGACTACACCAATTCTGATCCGTGGTTATATGCCATACCTCAATGACAAATCAAGCAATCAATATGTTTGGTGGCAACAAAAGATATCATAGGTATTACTTAATAAAAAAGAAAAATTTATCTAGTTTAATATTTATCGCTTCTTATATTCTCTTTGTTTCATATATAATATGAAAAATAAAACTTTCAATGTCAAAACCTCTTTATCTTCAACATTTGAAAAAAAACCTCTTATATTTATCCTTCATATGCTTTTCTAAATCGAAATCTTATCTAATAGAAGTCTCCCTACAACAAAAAATTAATTTGATTAACTAAAAACACATGTAATTAATGTGTTGATATATATTGTAAAATAACGTTTGACATAGCAAGTGAAAATTTAAGATCAAGATAATAATATGTAAACCATACGTTCATCTCTTATGCCTTAATTTAGGGTTGGAAATATGTCTTTTAAACACTCTACCAAGAAAGAGATTTTAATCACAAGGGTTAAGGTAGCATGATTCTTGATCTAATCTATTATTCATGTCTTCCATTGTCTTCGGTCCCTTTGATCCAATTATAATTTGAAGTCTTGAGTACAACTATAAATTTGTCAAAGGAAAACTCTCACAACAACATTTTTTTTTTGATTTACCAAAAAATAATATAGGTACATTTTCTATTTGGCCTAGGCTTTATGACAATAAAGTAAAGCTTCTTCTCAAATTCTATTTTAAAAAGCACTTTGATAATAAAAAATCTTCGTGATGGCTCTAAAATAAAATTCCAACATCGAAGCTAAAAAACTATATTCAGATCTGCATATGTGAACACTTATTTTTAGGGCTTGAAAGTTAAATATGTTTTTACGATGGTCAAAGTCGACGTGATTGATTTTAAGGTTTTTCGATGTCTGAACTGAAATTTTTGATGTGTTTTGAAATGAGACTTTATTTATTTTGATAATGGTGCAGCCCTATCAAAACATTTTTTATTATTTCTATGTCATTCTTTATTGAAAGAATACCAATCCCAAAGAAACTGGGTTGTGGATGTTTGAAAATTGAAAGTTGTGGATGTTTTAAAATTGAAATAAAGTAACCAATTGCTTGTTGTTTCTAACCGCACATGTGAAGCATGTGTATCCACCTGTTGGAATATTAAACCACTCTTCTTTCAAGCTTTGTTATACAACACCACGTCACATTTGCCAACACATTGCTTTGAAGCGAAAATGTCAATTACACTCGAACTAAAACTACACGTGCTATGCATGTTACACACACTTGTTTACTTTTTATATTGGAAAAAAGGAAAAATGAAAACAAGAATAGAAAGAGATAATTCTAAGAACTTAGAATACCAATTAGATATTGAAAATCTGACCCTGAAAATAATGAAAAAATGGATGTAAAAAATGTGTGCAATGATAAGTTAGAAACCAAATGCATATCCCCAAATGTGGTTTTATTGGAAAGGGGTTCTCTATAAAGAGATTATTTATTTTGGAGGTCACAATCATTTCCACTAATTAGATGTCAAATTGGATGACTTGAGGTGAGTGACTGTTGAAGTTGCAATAAACGAAATAGAGAAGAGAAGAGAGAAAATAAATCAACACACATATACGTGGTTCGGCAATGGTGCCTACATCCACGGACGGATAACCAGTATTTCATTAATAGATATTACTCTAACTAGTATTTCATTCATAAATGTTACTCTGGTTTACCAGATATTTATAAAGTCACAATTCTTGTCTTTTAAAAAACCAATCTCACTACGTAATCCCACAAAACAGGAAACCAAATATAGGAAACTTAATATCTTATAATATACAAGATAGGAAACTCAATATTTGGTTTTTATAACTGTCCATGTTGAAGTTGCAATAAACGAAATAGAGAATAGAAGAAGGAAAATAGATCAACACACATATATATGGTTTGACAATGGTGCATACATCCACAGATAGTAAATCGGTATTTCATTCATAGGGATTGCAATTCTTGTCTTTTAGGAAACTAATCTTGTCTATTAGGAAACCAATCTCACTACAATTCTTGTATATTAGGAAACCAATCTCACTACAATAGGATAATAGTAATCCCACAAAATAGGAAACCCAATATAGAAAACTTAGTATCTTTTAATAGGAAAAGATGAGATTAGCCCACTAGCTCATATGAACATATGAGCCTAATAGCCCATATTGAATCTGGGTCGATCTGACGATCACAGATGCCTAGTAGTATTTGAATTTTATTTTATTTTCTACAAATCCAAATCACTTGAAATTTTACGCGTGTGGTCTTCTCATCAAGGCGCACCTAATAAAAATAAAAAAAATTATTTGTAGAAAAAATGATCAAAATACCCTTCGAATCTTTGTAAGGGTATTTTGATCAATTTATTTCATGTAAAATATTTTTTTGATATTTTTAGAAGAT